CAGTGGCGTTTAGCAAAAAATCACCAAGGTAAAAACGTTGTTTAAAAATGTTGCTTAAACTTGTTGATGTATATTGTTTAAAAAATGTGACATATCTCAGCATAATCTTAATACAAATAGCATTTGATTTATATTCCATATACCATAAAACATGCTATCTCTAATTGATACATAATTCCATATTAATCAAGCATGTATTTTACTGCATGAAAACAAAGTTACATGTTATCTGAGGGAAAACACACTGTACACAGGACTAGAGCAAATGCAAAAAAAAAAAAAAAGTCTGATTGCCCCTCTCCATGTTTCTACTGCCAGTCCTGAAAACAGTAAGTTTTGATTATCATTGTTTTTAGTTAGGAAAGGGAACTGAAGTCCAATATGTGCAATCTGAAATCATCTCCCACCCCACAATAAGCTTCTCTTCTTATAAAATCTATATCAGTGAATGACCAAGTGGCCATAGCCAGAAACCTGGGAGTCCTAGACTCCTCTCTCTCACCTTTCACTCTAATCAATCCTACCCATTTTAGCTAACTCCTAAATATTTCCCCACTCAGTACTCTCTTCTCTATCTCTACTATGACTGTTCTGTCTCTCCCACAAGCCTTGTTTCTAGTTTTGCTCCCTTTCCATCTTACCTCCATGTTAGTATCAAGAAGATATAAACCAAAATCCAACTGTTGAAAATCCAATGACTCTCCAACATCTACAGCACTTGGAGCCTACTTACTTCTCCAGCAAGCATGATTGCCCATCACTCCCTAAGCCCACTTTACACTCTAGTAATACAACTCGGCTGCTAATTGAAAGGTTGGTAGTTTGAACCCACCCAGCAGCTCCTGGGGAGAATGACCCAGTGATCTGCTTCCATAAAGATTACATTCAAGAAAACCCTATGGGGCAGTTCTACTCTGTTACATGGGATCACTATGAATCAAAACCTACTCAGCTGCAAATAATGACAACAACAAATACAGCTTGCAGGAGTCCCTGGCAGGTGCAAAAGGTTAACAGCTGGGCTGCTAATAGAAAGGTTGGAGTTCCACCCAAAGACACCCGGAAAGAAAAGCTTAGAGATCTATTTCCAAAAAAATCAATCATTGAAAACTCTATGGAGAACAGTTAACCCTGTGACACACATGGGGTGCTGTCATGGATTGAACTGTGTGCCCCCAAAATATGTGCTAACTTGGCTAGGCCATGATTCCAAGTATTTTTGTGATTGTCCACCATTTTGTCATCTGATGTGATTTTTCTATGTGTTGTACATCCTACCTCTATGATGTTAATGAGGCAGGATTCAATCTACAAGGCTAAGTTGTGTCTTAAGCCAATCTCTTCTGAGATATAACAGAGAGAAAAAAGTAGAGAGACAAGGGGACCTCATACTACCAAGAAAGCAGTGCCAGACGTAGAACATGTCCTTTGACCTGGGGTTCCGGAGCTGAGAAGCTCCTAGACCAGGGGAAGACTGATGACAAGGACCTTCCTCCAGAGTCCACAGAGAAAGCCTTCCCCTGGAGCTGACGCCCTGAATTCGGACTTCTAGCCTACTAGACTGAGAGAAAAAATTTCTTTTTGTTAAAGCCATCCACTTGTGGTATTTCTGTTATAGCAGCACTAGATAACTAAGACAAGCACCATGAGTCGGAATCAACTCCACAGTAACTGCTTGCAGCTCCCTGCACACATCATGCTGTTCCATGCCTTCTCTGCTTAAGCTATTCCCTCAGCCTGGAAATCTTTCCCTAACCACTCATGAAAGCCTTCCCAAACCACTCAAGAAACTTCTCTAGCACTTCATGTTTATGCTTTAGTAAGCATTTCATCACTTTCTACTTTGTACAATTTTCTTGTATTCTCTCCCTTAACAGACAACATAACACTAGTAGGCAAACTATATCTTAGGTCATTTAGAATCTCCACAGAGCAGTTTCTATATATATATGAGCACTAAAGTTAAGATAGTTGGATGGTTGAATGAATGAATGAACAGCATGACAACAGTACTTTTTTATTTACCTAACAAGAAACTATAATCATAACTGCTTCATGAAATTTAAATGGATTTTTTAAAACTTTAAGGCAAACAATTTTTTAAAATATGCCTGTAAACATGTCAATAAGAACACCTATTAAACACGTAGGGAGAAAAACCCCTGCAACTTGCTCATAAACTGAACCTGAGGGAAATTAAGAAATCTAAAAAATTGTGAGTTTAACTAGCTCCAGATTTTACATTAACCAGACACAGAAGAGAAGCGCAATCTCATCCATGGAAAGTATCTCAAAAGAACATTTTTTATTGAAAGAAAACGCAGACGTGGAAAACCAACTCCCCGCCCAAGCTTGGTTGTCCTTTCAAGACAAGAAGTTTAATCATTGAAAGGGGCTCATTTCAGAGCACCAGTCTTCATTGATCTCTGCACAAAATAACATGATGGAAAAACTAATTCGTCTAGGAATTAAGAAACATTTACCACACCTTTACAAGTTCAGCTAAGCAAATATTTTCTTCATCTTCCTAAACAAACACCAATTCCTAATCTCCAGATCCCCTTCCACCACAAGAAAAACCGTCCAAGGACCCTACGAACCCGGCTACTGCTTTGGACACAGGCCAGAGCCGGCGGCAGGTGAAGACTGGCCTCGGGACCTCCGGCCACTGCTGCTCAGACCCCAAAATCAGAGACTGTTGCTTCCTTACCAGGGCAGCTCCCGCGACACCTGGGCCACGTAACCCTGATCGCGCCCGGACTCACCCTGCGCAATTTCTCCAGAACCAGCCCTAAGTACGGCTGAGGGGCAGCCCTGGGCCCCTCCATGGTGCCAATTCTGCCTTGGCTGTCACGACCGCAGCTACCACCAGGCCCGGCCGCAGCTTTGCGTCCGGAACCCGAACCCGCACCGGGCGACCGGAGCAGACCACCGCGGAGCCGGCTAGGGGGGTGAGCACAACAGGGACGGGCGCCAACAGGCCTTCTGCGCCCACGCTGTCAACCAGAGAGGCTGGGCCACCACGTTACACTTTACGTATTGAGGTCTGCAGCTCTTAGCCCGTCCCGCACAAGCCTGCAACGCTCCGCCAAACCCCCACACCGCCAACTCAATTTGGTTTCGGCCGAGTGGCCGCGGGGAGGCGGGGAAGCTCAGGACGCGATAAACTTCCTCCCTTTCCTCGCGCGAGGCTCGTAGACGTGTCCGGGTAGTTCGTTCTTAAAGGGACCGGCACTCTACCTGGCGAAGCCGTCCACCATTGGAGGCGGAGGAGCTTGGGACTCAGAGAGTTTGGGCCGCCCAGCCCGAAGATCAGCGCTCATGGCCCCGGAGGCCCCGACTCTGGTGGCTGCGGCGGCTGCGAGGATTCTCCGAGGGGCCCCTTGACGCAGCTACACGGGGTGAGCGCAGCGCGCCCCCCCACCCGCCGGTCCAGGGTCCGGCGCCATGCCCCGTCCCAACCCCAGCACTTCACTTAGCCGCCCCAAGAGCCTGCCATCTGCACCCCATGCAAAACGTTGGCGGCGGCGTACCCCGTGGGACCCCGCCGGGCCAGGGAAGCCGGCAGCCGCCTTCATTTTTGTCAAAATGACGCCGGTGTGTCCTGCCAACCGTGTCCGGACTTTGGACAGGAAGGCGACTCAGGTCAGCTCTAGTCTGGACAAAGTTTAATCTCTCCCACGCAAGACAGCATCGATCGGGTCTGCTCTGCCCAACGGACGATTCCAGGGGTTTACTCACTTTTACCTGAGCTACCTAGGCAGAACTGTCTTAAACTCCATTATCTATCTCTTAGTTTCCTAAATGCAAAATCAGGCTCATGTGGACCTGGGCTCGGCGCGTGCTCTTCTCCGCTGAGAAGGGGAGCTAAAAGAAGAACTTGTCTTCTAAATTTAGGACTCTATCTTTAGGTTTGTTTAATAAAGCACGGAAGACTCAATTTGTTCGTGGAAGAGGGTTTTAGCTGACACAGGTGTTAAGAATAACCGTCTCATAAATCTTCCTTGTCAGCATAATCATTCTCACCATAGTCGACCTTCCAACTCAAGTCCAAAAGCTCAAAAACCAGATACTTCTTCCTCAGCAAATCACCCAAGAGATCACTCAAGAGATGAACAGAATCATAAATCCTTAGGAAATTTTCTAATGGAAGCTCTTGCAGCAACAAAACTGTTGTGCAAAAAAGAATCCAAAAATGAACCCCCGTTCACATCACGTGATTATCAGGATCAAAACGCGGCCTAGTTTTTCGGAGCTCAAAGGGTTATCTCTCCGTTTACCACATCAGCCAAAGGAGTTTCAGGAACTGCCAGTACCAGAGAGGAGCCGACATTGCTTAATAATTCTCCATTTTTAAGGTATTACACAACCTTTATTCACGTTGAACAGTGTGTTTTGAAATTAAATTATGTGACTAGCTTATTAAAGTCAAAACAACCATAATCAAAATTTTATGTTTCGAACTTCAAAGAACTTCTAAGAACAAGTCTTGGAACAATGTTTGCCTCAATTAGAACACTGTATTACTCAATAAAAATTCTTCAATGAGTCAATGTTTTCAGGGATCTCCAGAATCATTTTCAGCTTTTAAACCAAACCAAACCAAATCCACTGCCGTGGAGTGGATTCCTACTCATAGCAACCCTATAGGACAGAGCAGAACTCCCCCATAGGGTTTCCAGGGAGCAGCTGGTGGATTCAAACTGCCGACCTTTTGGTTAGCAGCGGGCTCTTAACCACTGCACCACTAGAGCTCCTATTTCAGCTCTTAGGACTCGTTTATTTATAACCTATAACATATATATATATTCCCTTCCCCTCCCTAATGCAATCTGTGCCCCTTTCCAATTTTTCAATAATTATTCTAAATATTAAAAATATTGATTAGGGGCAGAGTAGAAATGAAATCCAAAAATATATAAACACCTCAAAGCTTCCCCCCATAGCAAAAATACAGTAAAACTTAACCAACTCAGTGCCCAGATTCCAAACCTAATTTCTTTTCTGTGCACTGAATAGTCTTAGCAACTTACCTCTTCCTCTAGATCTTCCAATTCCATTTTTTAAAAATCTCATGTTAAACTATCTTAACATGTAAATAAAGTTCTACCAAGCACCTCTTATCCTTGAGAAAGATTCTAGATTATAATACATCCTGCACTCTTCTGTTTCCACACTGACTGTGATCCTGTTTTGACACTTGTGTGGTAAAGGGGTGCTGCAGGTGGAGTTGTGAGTACCAACCCATTATCCAATTTCATGGATATCACTCCTTATTAAAATATATGTAATACTTAGATATGTAATATATATCCATACAAAAACACATGTTTTCTAAAATATACTATTACGATCTTCTTAAAATCTACAATAGAAAAGAATAATCCTGAATTTGGTAATTGGTAAAAAATGAAACTGAACATTTTATTCTATAGTCTTTTCATATATGTCTACTTTTGAGTCTGTAAGAAACCATTATTTTCTTCAATTAGAGTACATGATTTTTACTATGTAACAGATATTTAAAGATTGTTTTCCATAAGCAGGCATAAGATTTTACTGTCTTATCTAGAATTTGCTTTAAAGGAAATAGAGAGCAAATGTTTGTGACAGCTACCAGAAAGCACCCAAGAACACTGGAAACATGCTAACCAGTAAACTTTGTCCACAACATAGAAACTGATTACCCCCTATGAAGGGCCTTGTTGCAAAGTTCTAACTACTACTTACTCTCATTTAATTAAATAGGTAATGTCACAGACTGTAAAAGCTAGTCCTTTGGAAGAACATCAAACAAAATTGCTGAGCCAAATTTTCAATCTCTGAGTACTAGTGATGTAAGAGCTGTTCTCAGAACAATCAGGAGCTACCGGTTGAACAAGGTCTGGGTAATTTCCATTGTTTAATCCACATATAAATGAAGCATTCTAATAAAAAATGTATAAATGTTACAACTCAAAGAGCCTCATCAATTATAAAACAAAATAGATAAAAAGTACTGTTGATTCCTATTACTTGAGCAATACAACGAAAGTATCTTTACAGCATCTAAATAAAATTA